GACCATACTTGTTATTAAACATAGTGACCGTACTTGTTATTAAACATAGTGACCGTACTTGTTATTAAACATAGTGACCGTACTTGTTATTAAACATAGTGACCGTACTTGTTATTAAATATACTGACCGTACTTGTTATTAAACATAGTGACCGTACTTGTTATTAAACATACTGACCGTACTTGTTATTAAACATAATGACCGTATTTGTTATTAAACATACTGACCCTACGTGTTATTAAACATAGTGACCGTACTTGTTATTAAACATACTGACCATACGTGTTATTAAATATACTGACCGTACTTGTTATTAAACATACTGACCATACTTGTTATTAAACATAGTGACCGTACTTGTTATTAAACATAGTGACCGTACTTGTTATTAAACATAGTGACCGTACTTGTTATTAAACATAGTGACTATAACTGTTATAAATGGTCAGTATATTTAATAACAAGTACGGTCACTATGTTTAATAACAAGTACGGTCACTATGTTTAATAACAAGTACGGTCACTATGTTTAATAACAAGTACGGTCACTATGTTTAATAACAAGTATGGTCAGTATATTTAATAACAAGTATGGTCACTATGTTTAATAACAAGTACGGTCAGTACTTGTTATTAAACATAGGGTCAGTATATTTAATAACAAGTACGGTCACTATGTTTAATAACAAGTACGGTCACTATGTTTAATAACAAGTACGGTCACTATGTTTAATAACAAGTACGGTCACTATGTTTAATAACAAGTATGGTCAGTATATTTAATAACAAGTATGGTCACTATGTTTAATAACAAGTACGGTCAATACTTGTTATTAAACATAGTGACCGTACTTGTTATTAAACATAGTGACTATAACTGTTATTAAATATACTGACCATACTTGTTATTAAACATACTACACTATGTCACTTTTAATGTTCATGCTCAAATGGACCATTAATAGTGAGCAATAATTAGCATTCCGTTTGGCTCTAGGAACGTATAATGGAATATCGAACTATACTGCTTACAAATCGGCACATTTTTGTCATACGTTCTTGAATATTTAGTGTTACTAATAACTTGTATTATTAAATATATAAATCAATGTTGAATGAATTAAGTGATTTGTAATCAGGGCCGAATTACTGAACTTCATGAGTAAGACAGAAACAGTTCAATACTATTTATTAACTGTTTGAGCAATACACAAACACAAGCGATGGGGTCTACGAACTTACAACGCTACAATTCGGGGTTCGATTCCCCGTAATAGACACAGCAGATAGCCCAGATGAATGTTTAAACATCACGAACTTTAACAGAAGGAATGATTAACGTATTTGGTAAATATTGAGTGTTCTAAACGTATTTGAACATGTTGTGCGCCTGTCCAGTTTTGTTAGGTCTGATGTTGACTGGGCGTATGTTTAATGAAAAATTGTGGTCAAAATATTCAATGAGAAGTGTGGCCATTGAGTAAAGTAATAACTATAGGTACTGTGTTTAATAACAAGTATGGTCAGTACGTTTAATAATAAGTATGGTCAGTATGTTTAATAACAGTTATAGTCACTATGTTTAATAACAAGTATGGTCAGTATGTTTAATAACAAGTATGGTCACTATGTTTAATAGCAAGTATGGTCAGTATGTTTAATAGCAAGTACGGTCACTATGTTTAATAACAAGTATGGTCAGTATGTTTAATAATAAGTATGGTCAGTATGTTTAATAACAGTTATAGTCACTATGTTCAATAACAACTACGGTCACTATGTTTAATAACAAGTATGGTCAGGACATAACGTCCTTGAGAAATGGGTCAACATTTTCACCCACTTGTGCCAATTAAGTCGAAGTTTAGCACTGGATACTATGTGTCATCTCAAAGGTATTTGATCTTGATTTGACTGTTTTAAAAGTTTCAAATTCTAAAACCTGGCGTTTTAGAATAATTGTTGAGTTTACTTCTAGAACATTTGTGTAAACTCAGACTTCAAGAACATTTGTGTAAACTCAGACTTCTAGAACATTTGTGTTAACTCAAACTCTAAACAAACTCCATCTCAGGTTAATCCCCCAGCTAACAGCTGAGTAGATTGAAACAAGTGGAATAAGAGGTCTTCCTCAATGACACAACAATATGACGCGAGCCAGCCTCGAACTCGCAACAATCCGACTACGAGTGTCAAGCGAGAAGCCACTGAGCCACACTGGCCCCCGCTGTTAAAACAATAATACACGAAAATCCTATACGCCTCATGTTTTTTGTAGCTGGTGCTCGCTCAGATCCCCAGAACATCCGAGATGTAAGCTTATTAAAAGCGTATCTACCAAGCTACAATCTCGTGTTAATCTATCTCCAGTAAACGGTAATTTTACATTTATTTCTTAATCAATAGTGGAAACTCGAAAGGAAAAAGGTTTAATATTGCAATTTCATGGTCTTGTGCTTCTTAATAATAATAAAAAAAAACATGAGCTGAAGCGGTCTGTTTCTAGCAAACGAATCAGCCAAGCGACGAAGAAATTCAGACGAAAGCTACAGTTTTTACGACATATTGTGATATTCGTTAGTAGTTTTTATTGCTCCAGTTTAACGAAATTCTCAACGAATCATTAATTACAAACATACGATAGTTACCTCTTCTCCTGCTCTGGGTTGTGCTGGTTGAACGTTGATGGTGGCTTTCCCAGCAGGAACTAAACGTGCACGAGGGGAAAAAAAAAGAAGGTATATTCTACAGCAGGTGAGATCTAGCACGTGATACTTTAAACAACGTAATTATCCAGGATAGAATTAAGATTATAATTTGTTTAGATTTCAAATAAAATCTTTGTTGGAAAGTTATGAGAAGGAAATAGTCTGTATAGTCTGTATAAATTGATTTTTATGTATCGATCTCAGATTCTACAAAGAGAATTAATAAAAACGCTGAACAAAACCGTAAAACTGTAGTTTGCCCACAACTTGTACAAGTTGTGTTCTTTCAAGTTATTTCAGCAAAAAGAAGAGCAACACATACACGTATATAACATAAAAACAAGAAATTTTAACTCTGCCACCTGACTTAGAGCAACACATACACGTATATAACATGAAAACAAGAAATTTTAACTCTGCCACCTGACTTAGATCAACACATACACGTATATAACATGAAAATAAGAAATTTTAACTCTGCCACCTGACTTAGATCAACACATACACGTATATAACATGAAAACAAGAAATTTTAACTCTGCCACCTGACTTAGATCTGATATATTTATTGATCCAGACAGTAGTTCAGAAACTCACGGATTAACTGTGATATATTTATTGATCCAGACAGTAGTTCAGAAACTCACGGATTAACTGTGATACATTTATTGATCCAGACAGTAGTTCAGAAACTCACGGATTAACTGTGATATATTTATTGATCCAGACAGTAGTTCAGAAACTCACGGATTAACTGTGATATATTTATTGATCAAGACAGTAGTTCAGAAACTCACGGATTAACTGTGATATATTTATTGATCCAGACAGTAGTTCAGAAACTCACGGATTAACCTAACAGATTGAACAAACTTTCTAAGGTGCAGAAGTCGTTATAAGTTTTCTAAATATCTTGACATTGACAGAGTCTTTGTCTGCCCTTGGTCACATATATAACACACACTATATAACCATTGTTTTAAGCCTTAATCACAGAGAAATGTACCAACACGTTCTTCAGACTTCCCAAAGTCTACCATCTTCAGATAAATATGAACAGTCTCTATTTTGAGTATCTAAAATAAACCTGGTGCTTAGAAAATATTCTGTGGTAGAGAAAGAGTAAGTCTCATTGCGCCTATGCTTAGTTTATGTTGGTTTGAAGTACTTATTTAGACAAACCGTCATATGTATAATTAGCTAGACTTACATATTTGTTACTTGAGTTGATGAAACTAGCTAAACGTTCTCGAATCACAATCCTGTATACTCACACGTTACTAATATTTCATGAAAGCTGTAAGAGGTTGAGAGGTTGCAAGATTACTAGCTTCACACCGGTAGATGGCGCCATTATCTTCCCGTTGTGCTTTTAATACCAGTTCGTTTGTTACACCACTTCCAGTGACGCGGGAAACTGTATTTATCTAGAAAAGTTAGTTTATAAACATATTTTTGATCTCAGCCGAAACGATTATCTTAATGTAACAAAACAAAACAAAATTAAAAAGTCGAGAGCAATTTTATTACTAAGCACTCCAAATGATTAAGAAAAAGTATTTTTCCCAAGGCAAAACATACTTTTTATAAAACATACTTTTAATAAAACATACTTTTTAATAAAACATACTTTTTAATAAAACATACTTTTTAATAAAACATACTTTTTATAAAACATACTTTTTAATAAAACATACTTTTAATAAAACATACTTTTTATAAAACATACTTTTTAATAAAACATACTTTTTAATAAAACATACTTTTTATAAAACATACTTTTTAATAAAACATACTTTTTATAAAACATACTTTTTAATAAAACATACTTTTTAATAAAACATACTTTTAATAAAACATACTTTTAATAAAACATACTTTTAATAAAACATACTTTTTAATAAAACATACTTTTTATAAAACACACTTTTATCATCTAGGCAACAGTCGAGGCTATTACACCAAGAAATGTTTAATATCTTTTAACCGGTTTAAGTATTTGGTTTCTATTAAAATTTCATTACTTCTTTTGTAATTGGTTTTAAAGGTAGTTTAATCAAAAACTATTTTAACTTTCACAGAATTACTGTTCGTCGTAATCAATTCTTGAATGAAAACAATAACTTACAAAAGCAATATATATTTCGTAATTAAAACAACTTTACCGGTTGTAATAAAAATATTTAAATTTTCGCCATCCACAGAGTGAATACAGTTACCAACATGGCGGCCAAGAAGATCAAAACGAAACAAATAGTTGATTTAAACTAACGTTCACGATTAAGTTGTTTTTGTTTTAGTTTCATAAAACCCATAAGCCCACAACTATGACTGATAATTCTTTAAACAGAAGCTGGCGTATCTTACAACAATGAAATTAAACTCAAGGAGGTTCTTGGTAGTAATTAATTCGCAATCTTCGTATTGTTGGCCGAAAATAAGATTGACTCACTAAATTCACACAGTTACATACAATTTGAGGGCCGTGTTTCTTCCTTAAGATGTAAGATGTCTCAACTTCCTAAAATTTTGTCACTTTGACTCGAATTACGAATTAACTCGGTGTTGCATCATGGGAATAAAATACTTCAGCGTGAGAGAGTAATTTTATTTTTCTATATACTGTCTTTTTATGTATACACTCACGGGTTTTGTATTGTATTTAATATCAGTATTTGGAGATTTGTTCGAGGGGATTAAAAGTCGCTGTAAAATTCCTTTATTCTTACCTAATATTTTGAAAAATGTAAATATTGAGCGGGAAAACTCTTAATAATAAAAATAACGTATAACATTACTAACACAAGTTCTCGTTACGTTAGGTCCAAGTGACCAGAGAAAGATTGTAAATATATATATATACCTGTTTGTTTCCCCGATACCACTGTATAGAAGCGAGTGGATTGCCCCCAAACGCAACACAGTCAAATCTCAATGTGTCTCCTGCTTGCATTGTTAGTCCTGGAGTATAACCAACTATTGTAGGTTTATCCGGAGGATCTACAATCACCAAGAAACATTAGCAGTTAATTCTTCTGTAAACACAAACAACACAAGCGTAAGAAATATAAAACACAAAATTAAAATAACAGTTTTGGACTCCTTATTCTTGTTCAATCACAGAAATTTTTTCTCTATTTTTTTATTTTTATTCTTTTTTAATATCTTCAAATTTAACAGACAAACGTACACATCAGTTCTGTTGGAAAGTAGAAATCTATTAAATTATGTGGCGTTTCTTTTCAAAACAATCAGATGAAGATTTTTTTTTCACTCTGAATGAAACAAACATGTTGAAATTTCCTTTTTTTTTTTTGTTTACGGTAAATATTTTAATCCAGCTGCTTCGAGCTTAAAGTCTTCCATATTTTATTTTACATCATCTGTCTACTTTTTCCGATTTTTTTTTTTCAAGTTTAAGCCTTTCCTCTTTACTACTTATATTTATATGTTTTCTAAAATTTGCATCGATCCTTTGAGTTCTCTCTTCATTACTGTCTCTCCGTGAAATATTGTACCTGGTTCGCACCTGGCTGTCTAAAATAAATACGTCGACGTACCCATTCATTGTATTGCTTTTGGCGAGGGAAAATCAATTCAGTGGTCTTCCTGAGTATAACGTCTTGTTTCCAATAGTATTTTCGGATTTAAGATGTTTTTAATAGTAGCCAGGTACATTTGGTAATTCGACTTCACTCTGCCCAGTTTCAATAGTTATTAGTAGATACTTCAAAAGACCGAGTTCACTTCAAACTGTTTAAATAACAATAAAAGTCCCAAATGTCCTGGATGAATCAAGAGATTGATTGCTCTTAAAAAAGACTCCAACATTTGTGAAGTTTTATCCTCCCACCCCACTTTTTTTTTAAACACATATAAGTTTAAATGTAATTCTAACTAATAGGGGCATAACTGTAGTAAAAAAAAAAAGTGTAAATTAATGATGAAACGTAGCGGTTGTTAAGTAAATTTGTATCATCGGTTTAGTACTTTTCGTGAGACAGTTAAAACATTGTTACATTTCGAGTTATCCCTACATCATTTTATTAGTGAGATGATATCTATGTGGTTATAGCGCCACCTTCCTCATATATATATATAGACATAGAAGAGGTGACTGTTTGCAACGTAATCATTTATTTACAATACTAACACTTAGATTATTAAGCGAAGCAATCGAGCAAAGCGAAACGTTCATAAAATCACAATGAAAAAAATTCGATTTTCTCCCTCTCTGTGTTACCGCCATATTGACTCATCTTAACCTCTTCCTTCCTTTTTACGATTGCATTTCTTCAAATGACTATTAAAGTAGGCAGCTTTACGTGCTTGACTTTTGAATGGTATAACCTCTCGAACACCTGACGCCAGTTAACAGAGTAACTTTTCCAAATATACCTTCTTTATGACAGGCAATCTTGGACGAGTTTATGCTAGTTTTAGTCGAAGTTCGTGCACATGAACCTAAGTGAAAAGCAGACATTTTTCAGCTACTTCACACACAAGTACTCTACTCGGACATACTACCACATTCGGTAAAATTATTATCATTAATAGATTACACTACTACCACATTCGGTAAAATTATTATCATTAATAGATTACACTACTACCACATTCGGTAAAATTATTATCATTAATAGATTACGCTACTACCACATTCGGTAAAATTATTATCATTAATAGATTACACTACTACCACATTCGGTAAAATTATTATCATTAATAGATTACACTACTACCACATTCGGTAAAATTATCATCATTAATATATTACGCTACTACTACATTCGGTAAAATTATCATCATTAATATATTACGCTACTACCACATTCGGTAAAACTATTATCATTAAT